TAACAAATTTGAAATAATTCCTGTGAAATATTATATTCACAAGTGTCAATACTAGCAACGGAAAATATCATGTCGGCCGTTTTTATGTGTGATAACAGAACCTAAATCGGGGTAAGGCTAGGCCTAGCAGCATTGGATAGGCTAATGTTTTCGGCGCCTACGATATTTCTTCACACGACCTATTGCAAAATCAACATGAAAAATTCATCCGCATTTATTTTTTGTGTGGAACACAAAAAATCAAATTTCTGTCTTATTTTACATTTTTTTCATTCTTAGGAATGTCTAAATTCATTTAAACAAGCAATTCCGTATCATATTTATAAATCTTTATAACATTATACAAAAATTAGATTTTTCTTAAAAACTGAAATTTTGCCGGGAATGGGGCTTTAAGCTGGAAATACCACATTGAATATACATGTGATAAGGCCCTCAAAGGTTTAGGTATGCTTAAAAGATGTAGACACCTCTTCTGCTATTATTATTCCCCATTTAACTTATTGTCGTGTAATCTGGGGTAATTGTGGCTCAAGTTTTCTAAAAAGAGTACAAACTGTACAAAATAGAACTGCCTGGATCATATCCCCGAAAACTTAGAAATACCGGGTTGGTGTCCGGCGGGGGATAGTTTCACTGGTAGTTAAGATATTATGTTTTTGTTGTTTTCTTTAACTCATTTTGTTTTCAATAATTTTTTTCTTTTCTAATTATGTATGGCCTTGCACAGCCTTGATGAAAAACACCCATGGGTGGTTCAAGTGTCTCCGTGTTTAAATAAAGTATATTATTATTATTATCATTATACGGTCTATCCTGGGACACGCCAAGTAAAGATGCATTACAAAGTGCAAATTGGCTTAACCAATCAGGGGATAGTTTCACTATCCGGCGGGGGATAGTTTCACTGGTAGTTAAGATATTATGTTTTTGTTGTTTTCTTTAACTCATTTTGTTTTCAATAATTTTTTTCTTTTCTAATTATGTATGGCCTTGATGAAAAACACCCATGGGTGGTTCAAGTGTCTCCGTGTTTAAATAAAGTATATTATTATTATTATCATTATACGGTCTATCCTGGGACACGCCAAGTAAAGATGCACTACAAAGTGCAAATTGGCTTAACCTTTCAATTAAGGATGAGTATGAATGTTGCATGTTAATATAAAAAATTATGACGGGACGTGCACCCTCTTATCTGTCAAACTTAGTTAAACTAAATAACTTCAATTATAACTTTAGGCACTGCAATACACACCTTTATATTCCGAAACCCCATACTGAATATCAAAAACGTAGTCATTGACCACAATAATTATGTCATCATCAGGAATAATAGCACAGTTATTGTTATTTTTAATGTGAAAATACCAGCCATTTTTAATTTCCTAAATGGCTGCCAAGAAAATCTCGGAAAAAATGGACCTTTGCAATTTTTTGATTCAGCATACCCAATATATCCAGAAAATGCAATAAAGTTGCTTTGGGCAAGCCTATCTCATGAAAGGACACTAGGGTCCACACTAACATGTTTTAAGGATATACAGTACCAAAAAAAGTGACAGTAAAAAATATGACATAAAACAACAGACTACTGGTAGATATTATGTCAAGTTTTTTTAACCACATGATAGCTCAACTTTAATCCAAATTAATAATTTTCTTTTTTTAACAGGAAAGTTTCTGGTGTTTAAAACACCATTAGGCAGTCGATATGACAGTCAAGTGCCTGAAGAGAATCGGTTTCATCCATCAATGCTTTTTACATACTTAGATAGCTTGAAAATGAAAATGGGTCTTGTCATAGATTTGACAAATACGAAAAGATTCTATGATAAAGAAGAATTTGAAAATAAAGATGTCAAACATGTTAAGCTTCAGTGTAGAGGGTAAGTGCATTTATCTCAATAATAATAATAATAATATTGTATATAGAATAATATTTGTATATAAAAAATAATTGTTTAAACAGAGTTAGTTATTGCAAACACCTCGGTGTTTATATCGATGAAAATTTATCATGGAATAAGCAAACTGATAATGTAAAAACTAAAGTTCTGCCAGGTTTGTACTATTTGAAAAAGACTTATAAATTTCTATCAAATGATCAACAATCTCTTATGTGCAAAACCATTATTGCTCCTCATTTTGAATACTGTAACCTAGTATGGGGTAGATCTACTCAAATTCCAAAAAACAAATTACAAGTCTTACAAAATAGAGCGGCAAAAATAATTCTGAAAAAAAGAAAAGATGATTCAAGTACACAAGCTTTGCAGACCTTAAATTGGGAAAATTTAGAAAACAAATTGTATAAAAATTAAGCAATAACCATGTATAAGATTTTTCATAACATGGCTCCCTCTTATTTGACCGAACGCTTTACATTTAAGGAACAAAATTATTTAACCCGATTAAATGATGTCTTAAAAGTTGATCGTCCTCACACGGAATACAAAAAGAAAAGTTTATCTTACCGTGGTGCTATTCTCTGGAATGCACTGGATGAACATGTTAGAAATGCTTCAAGTGTTAAAATATTTAAAACACTTTTGTAAAATTTTTGGTCTTTGCTTCATTTTTTGTATCTCGTATTTGTATATAATTTTATCTTTTTTTGTGATTATGTGTTAGTTTTATTTTATACTGTTATTTTGCAACTTCAATGACAACACGGCCTTGTAGAATAACACCCTCTCGGTGAAACAAGCTTTCCGTGTAAAATAAAGTTTTAATAATAATGATAATAATAATAATAATATATAATGACGACATTGACAACAAAAACGATAACGAACAGCGACTATGACAACAAATCTCAAAACAAGAATCTTAAACTCCACAGGGATTTGAACCTGGGACCCGTCGCTTACAAACCGAACGTCATAACCAACTAGACCACGAATGCATTTTTAGTTATTTGTGATCGGGTACCACACCTTTTTTTCATTTTGGTAATGCCTCCTTTAACTTTGGTTTTTACAAAGCTATGCCTTTGGAATTACAAAGATAAAAAGTTGAAAATTGCTGCATAGACTAAGATTGGACCCCTCTTTCAAGAAATACCATTCAAATTTGGGTAGCATATTTTATTAGAATATATTATGTCCCCAAAACCCCCTAAAGCATTGTTTGAAAATAGATTTTCCCTTTTTGAGGAGTGAAGTATCTTATCAATCTAAAGTAAAGACATTGAATATAAACATGATGAATATGGTCATACTACTACATATATATAAAAGTTTGCAAGGTAATTAGAGCAATAATGAAGGTATGATGATGTCCCGAACATGGTTATTTATTTATTTATTTATTCTTTCTTTCGACTGGATAGCATTTTCAGTAGCGCAGTACTGCTTTTCAAAATGGTCCAGTTTTCTTAACAAATTTAAGAATGTAAACAGAATATAAAATATTAAACAGAACAAAAAAGTATCAAACATAAAAGAGAAAAGAAAAAATAAAAACATGAATTAAACAAAGCATGAAAAATGACAAATAGTTAAAATTGCAAATAACCTTATAATAAAAATTCAATTTAAAGTCATTTAGCACAAATGATATTTTTGAAATTGACTATGGTCATATTAGTTGCAGGACCAGTGACTCTGAAAATACCCCCTACTTGACCGACCCGATGATCCCATGGACACTTAATATTTATTGTGAAATTTATACCAGTATGCAGATATGATCACTGCAATTAGAAAGTTTAAATTTTGTTCCTCAGCTCTTTATGTGTGAACTATTTTTTTAGACAATTTTTTTTTCAAATTTTAATGCATTCTGGATATCAGGTCAAAGTTCAAATCACAAATATTGCCTACAAAGTATAAACAACATTTGCTGAATAAAGATAATAATAATTTAATCACAGTTTAAACATTTGTTCTGTGTAGATTCTAACAATCAAATTTTCTCATGTCTTAATGAATTTATAATTCAAGTCAAAGGTCAGATGATAGATACAGGTTTATTGCAAGTACTGATGCAAGACCACCTCAAAAATATAATGAAAAATGTGTCTATTACATAGGATCATTAAAAAAATGTTTAAATTGTGAATAAATGATTATATCTTTGTTCATTTCTTTTTTCATTTCGGTAATGGCTCCTTCAATTTGGTATGATTTTTACAAAACTATATCTTCTGGAATAATGAAGATAAAAAGTTGCAAATTGCTACATACATACAGTTGACTAATATTTGGCCCCTTTTTCAAGAAATACCAATCAAATTTTGGTAGCATATTTTATTGGAATGTTATATGCCCCCAAAGCATTGTGAGAAAATATATCTTGGTTTTTTTGGAAGGCCATATCTATCTATTTTCGCACATTCCCTCGTAGGATTTTTGGGGCATATAACATTCTAATAAATTATGCTACCCAAATTTGAATGGTATTTCTTGAAGAGAGGTCAAATATCAGCCTATGTAGCAATTTGCTACTTTTATCTTCGTTATTCCAGAAAATGCAGCACAAAGCCATTACCAGAATGAAAAAGAGGCGTGGTACCTAAGTTTCTAAAGGTCATAACTTGAAAACCGCTTGGAAATTGAAGCTTTTGACATATTTTGACAATGTATTTTTAGAATTTTTTAAAGGGAAATCCAAGGGGGGAGCAACTAGACCAGGCTATAATTGAGATAGGTGCCACTTGGAGAGGTAGAAATTCTCATATGGGTTTTTTATGGGGAATCAGAATATGTGAGGTAAAAGGGGTGTAACCTGAGAACTTTCGCATGAGGGCACTTTTTTCAAAATGGCTGCCAAAATTCAATAAACTACATTATGGGTAAAATAAGCACATAAGAGGTAGGTTTGGCCACCTTTTGAATGTAATGATAAGAGCAAAGTATAACTAGCTATAGTTAACTTATTAATGTGGAGATTTCGGGAAGCAATTGAGGGCGCTTTTTAAAATGGCCACTAAAATTAAAGAACAACTTAACAGCAGCTTTAATACCCTAAATAAATAATAATAATACCCTAATTTACAAAACATGAATGTGGATGGGTGGATGATTTGAGCTTGAATGACCCTACAGTATCTCAATTTATTGACTATTTATTAACTGTTAATGTTTGCTTACTTTTTATAACCTTCGCAGTCTTTTGATTATTAGGTGCACTGCGGCAGCGCATCTTCTATTGTTTTTTTTTAAATTTTTATTTCATCTCTTTTTATTTTTTCTTCCCATTTTTGTTTATGGATTTTCTCAATAACGGCAGAGGCTCTGTCCTTGAAACTTGACAAGCATACAGATCTACATCTGAAGTTGTGCATGTGACTTTTTGGATGACGTCACAGTTGTGAAATTTTGTATAAATATAAATAAGTATAAGTATATTTATAAGTATAAATTTAAGAAATACCACTTAACATTTAGAACATAAAATCTGTAACAGACATGTATTTTTTATCAAAATCAGGCCATAGATGCACAAGTAAAATCGGTAAAATAGAAGGCATAATTTTGAGAACCAAGTGCAATGACGATATATGCACACAACATCGGATCTCTCTCGCTGAGCTGTCAAGCCACGACCAGATCTAGGTCTAGGCCTAACCTGGTGGTACAACTACTGGTTGCTTGAATTGAAAGTCGTATACATTACCTTATGGTGTATTGGACAATAAATATAAACAGGCTTAGGTCTAGCCATTGCTTTAAAACCGGTACATAGCTTGACATTTTCGGCTCCGTTAAGCCAACCATAAAGGAAATTTTTTTTTTTTCTTGAAGTTTGCTTTGATTGTATTACATAGAGGGCGCTTTTTTGGACATTTTTCATAGCCACAGTATGAAAATAATTTTTGTTTGGCAAGCTTGCCATTGTTCCATTGTGGTGCCTATGAGCTACGAGCCATTCTTTGAAATTATATGATTGATCATCAACTCCTTACCAACAGGAATTTTTCAGTGAAACTTTTTCAAATATAATTCATATCAAAAGTAAACTTTTTGTTACCAGGACTGTTTGCGTGTACGTCATAACGTGCATGTAGTACATGTGCGTTAAAATTTTAAAATGCTCAAAATAATTTTTTGACTGAATTAAAGCATATTTCAGGCCATTTTGAGCATTTTAAAATTTTTCAATTTTTCCGCTCTGCACATGCTAGAACATATTTGGGGTTCCTGACACTGTATTCACAAATTTCCATTCTCTTTCAGTCATCATAAGGCTAATAACAATGCTGTATGCTTGCATCAAACAAGCGAATCCGTACGTGCAAGTTTCTGCCGACATACAGTAAAAATATTCCAAAATCATGCCTATTTGGGTCCGCGCAAGCTGCTGACCCCAGAGCCTCACTGCTGTTCTTGTACTTGTTTTTGTTACCAAAAATTTGAAAGCGTCTAGCATCGCCAGTTTTAAACAGACGTTAGGGTAATTTTGTACACATAAACTGGAGGTGTTTTTCAACAAATTTTGATCGCACGAAATTGGAAGTTTACATTACTGTCTGTGTGCCCGCGTCATGATATGTGCATACGCATGCGTTAATATTCAAAATTCTTAAGAATTAAATACACAAAAAAAGTCCAATGAAAATATAATCTACCTACTGTACTAAAATAGATGCATGTATGCCCATGTAACAGTTTAAAGAAACTGGTGGAAGTATCTTATGTCAGAAAAAAGAAATGGAATATAACACCAAGAATCTCCATGAGACCTTAACTGTTAACAGTTCAACATTTTTCTCAGATATTGTGATGTATTGCAACGATTTCCACCATAATTTCAATACTTTTTCCTTAAAATAGTATACAAATAATGAATGTTTATGAGTACAATGTGGTAGAATATTTCATGAGGTAAAAAATTGGATGTTCTAACGAGTCAAGTTAAATAGAGCATACAATCTTTCACCAAATGAAATATTCTACCCCATTGTATGAATGAGAAACATTTATTTTTTGTTTTATACAACACCTCCTTTATACATCGTCTGCATGCTTTTTAAAAAATATGTTACAAGGACCTATCATCCTTTCCAAGGCGAGCATGAAACCGGCCTAGGCCTAGGAATTGATCAAGTTCAGCTAATAAAATAGACTCATCCTCACCGGTGAAGCTGGCGAAATATTCCATACGGTTAACTGCATATTTTATTGCCTTTTTTATTATATTCATCATTACTTTCTTTCAGTAATTCCTCCAAACCTTCTTTGCTCAAAAATACAAAAAGCCCAGTACCAAATGGACCTCCCATTTTATCTGCAGAGTAATTGTACTGAATGACCAACTCCTTGTTGATGTGCAGGTTGTAACTTCATCACGGTGGCCTAGGCGCACTAGGATAATTTTTCTCGCTGGAATTGCATTTTAGATTTTTCTCGTCTTGGAGATGAAAGAGTACTATTCAATGATCGTGGACTAGTACTTAAATAATTATGGAATAGTCATTTTAAGTCAATCTCACATGACCTGTTTTCAACCAATCAAATTTATAGAATATATACCTGGTGTTGTATAAAATTGTTTATTGATTCATAATTATGCAACCAGGAAACAGTGAAATTACATTTGTAATTTCACTGTTCCCTGATGTAACCATGTCATACCTGAATTTCATTCATGTAGCTTCTCTTTTTTAAAAACAAAAGGTAACAAGATTATCTGAGATTACAAACCCTCACTCTGTTGCGCCATATTTATGTATTGAAAAAAATAACTTGGCATTTAATTTATGTATATTGTAGCCTTAAAATATTCAAAAATTTGCTTTCTAATACTAATATTTTTTTTCACAATTTACTATTAGACATGCGCCCTACTCTGGCCCGTGGTCGAACCACTTGAGTAGGCTCGACCTAGCTAAACGAGGCCTAGCATCATAGGCCTCATGTAACAGGGGAGTTTGCATGCCAGCCGGACCGCTTTAATTCTGTGTTCACAATTTGACACCGCCCCTATACTGGCCTGCGGGCAGTCTCCTCGAGTTGGCTCGGCCTAGACAAATGAGCAGTGATAAAACTGTCATTAGCCAAACAGCTAATGGAATCATTGCTTATATTTCGTTTTGGCTAATCAAATTTCTTTGTGGCTAATTATTTTCATAATGAATTAGCCAAATTGCCAAATATTTTTTTCCAGCTTAAAACCTGAATGAGGCCTAGCATCATATAAGCATTCTGCATGTTGCTTCCGATCAGCGCTAAATTCGTGGAGGACCGAGATGTACATGTAAAATTTTCAATGTGTAAAAATTTGAAAGAAATTGGTCAAGTATTTTTTGGAAAGACACACACGCTATTGCAATATCCTTCACCTTTCTTTGGAGAGGTAAAGGTAATCAATATCCTAATTTCCTGGGTTTTCTTCCTATAAATCCTGGGTATTCTTCCTACCGTGGAGTATGCCTTATGGAGTTTACGCTAGGCTCATGTAAACACTGGGATTATTATAGAAATAATGTTGTTTTTTTCTGTGTCATAAGTGATATGAGAATAAATGATTGAATTTCATTGAATTCAGTTGCTTACATGATATTCTTTTGTTTAGGCATGGAGAAGCACCAAATATAGACCAGACGAATGCATTTATTCAGGTTTGTTCAAGTTTTGTGAATAAACACCCAACAGATCTGATAGGTGTACACTGCACCCATGGCTTTAACAGGAGTGGATTCCTCATTTCTGCATACTTGGTAGAGAAAATGGATTGGAGGTATTTTTAAACTGTAACATATCACTCATTAAACAAATTTAATACTATTTTTACTGACACATTACATTATCAATATAAAGTTTGTAGACAGAAAAATTAACCCCCTACAAAAAAAAAAATGGGAGAATTATTATTTTGGCTTTTTTTTTTTTTTTTTTGTTGTTGTTGTCTTTTTTTTTTTTTTTTTCGTTGTTGTTGGTAACTAAATAGATTAATGGTTAAAATGCTTGCATTCTAATTCCATGATCCTGGATTCAAACTCTGTCACATTGCAGGGGTTTTCTCACAACTAAAAACAGTTACTCTCTAAAGCCCAATGAAAAAAAATGACGTTTTTTTCCCCCTGCCTGCATGTCTTCTGTGGTATTAAGAAAAAAAAAATACACAATAAAAAAATGAACTTTTGAGAGGTAAAAAAAAGAAAAAGAATAGAAAATAGGAAAGAAAAAACGATAGCCCAGAACGCCTCAAATGTTATTTTCGGGCGTCTAAAACACAGAAATTTCGCGGGGGCATGCCCCCGGACCTCCTATTTCAGTGTTGTCTCGACCGGCCCAAATTTTGGCACCCCCCCTTTCTGGGGCCCCCCCCCCTTTTGGACATCTCTGGATCCGCCCCTGGTGGGTGAGAGGGTTGGATGTTAAAACCAGTTTGTTTTCTATGTAAAAAATTCTTGGACAAGCGCCGGTTGCATCAGTGTAATAATATTTCGGTAAGCTTTACAGACATACCTCATTGGGG